GTTGTAAGATAACTCCACTCCGCAGCAGGTTAGTTAGTTAAAACTGTATTTTTCTAAATACTAGAAGTGTTAACTATGACAGAATGCCAGTAGAGACCTTTAAATATGTGAATATTTCTAATGATTCAGTACAACTCATCTTCTACAGCATTTTTATAAAAGAAACAGAGAATGAAAAATAGTTCAATCTATTTACAGTCACAGTGAGATATCTTCATGGCACTTTCAGTTTTACACTATATACATCAAAAAAATTCAGTCAGGCAGCAGAGCAGTGACGACCTTCAGTGGTTCAGCCTCCTCTTATACCTAAAGTCCACATCATAGGTAGGTTGAAGGATTCCCAGACCAGCGCGGGACTGGTCTAGAGGAGGAACTCGAATAGCAGGGTCTAATAATTCCATGTCAAAGTAGGCCAGCATCAGAGTCAGAAACTGCTTGATCTCATACACGGCGAAAAATCTTCCGGGGCATTTCGTTACCCCTGAGCCAAAGGGCATGTAGAAATAACGCAGCCGTCGGCCGTTGCGATAAAAAGTCGTCCTCTCCTGACCTTTCTCATCCAGAAAACGGTCAAACTTATACTCCTGCAAGAGAAGGAAAAACAGAGAGCAACAGTTATTAGATATCCCGATCTAAAGGTCATTCCTAGTTTCGGATATCACGATAATTCGGGGTCTTACATAGGGATCCTCATAGATTTCCGGATCGTAGTGCAGCATAGGTGGATACAGGGCTATGACATCATCTTTCCTGATACGGTAAGCTTCCTGGTTGTCAAGGTGAAGCAGGAAGTCCTCTTTAGCCACTCGAATGTTCAAAGAAGCACTAGAAAGCCGCATGGCTTCTTTCATGATGCTATCTGTTATTTAGAGACAGAAATATAGTTTGCAATATTTCAATAAAAAGTAAAATATAAAACTCATTCAACCTTTTGTTTTAAAGGAAACGTCCGCTCATATTCAGAATACAAACTTCTAAAAGTACTTTAATTATGAAATTTTTTCAGCTGTTCAATAAACGATCAGTGTTTTTAATTAAGAGTATTTTTTTATGTGCTTTACTGCAGGCATCCATGTTTGTTAAAGAACTAGTGATGCACTGATGCCAGTTTCTGGCCCCGATACCCGATACCTGGCTGTGCATCATCGGCCGATACCATCTGTTTGAAATTAATGTGTTTATCTGAAGAACTTCAGACTACCTGGATGTAAAATAATCACCATCATGGCTTCAAGCTGCTGCCTTCCTTTGTGAAGCAGGAAAAAGACTAAAACAAAGTGAATCCAGTAGAACTTTTTATTGCCTGGAATGGGCGACAATAGTTGAAGAAACTTTTGGCTCTCAAAGGCCAAAATAGTGCAACATTCGTGAA